GATCACTGGCAAGCATTGAAGTGGATTCTAAGGTATATAAATGAGTCTCTGAATAGAGTCCTAATTTATGGTGGATCCTTGGGTGAATATAGTAAAGTAACAATTGAAGGATATGTCGACTCTGATTATGCAGGTTGTATGGATTCCAAAAAATCTATTTCTGGATATGTGTTCACTATGTTTGGGATAACGATCAGTGGGAAAGCTACACTTCAAAAGGTCGTTGCCTTATCAACCACCGAATCGGAATATATCGCCCTAACTGAAGCTGTGAGTAAAGCATTGTGGCTTGAAGGTTTTTCTAAGGAGCTTAAACTTCAAGGTCGAGTTATCACTGTTAAGTGTGATAGTCAAAGTGCAATAAACCTGTCAAAGAATTCAGCCTATCATGAGCCAACCAAGCACATTGATGTGGGGCTGCATTTTGTCACAGGGGTAATCGAGTGTGGAGAAGTCCAAGTGCTGAAGGTTTCGACAGATCATAATGCTGCTGATATGATCACCAAGACGTTGCCCAATTAAAATTTTTTCCACTGTATGCAGTTGATAAAGCTGCATGAAGAAATATAGTTTCTCGATGGTATAGAGTTAGATCCAAGGTGGAGATTTGTGAGATATTGGATCGAACTCTAGTATGATGTCGGAGTAATGCGTGTTGTAGTCAAAGTTTGTTCTAACATGCATTAGTAAATATTGCTAGGTTTGTTAGCATGTTGAATTGGGCCTTGCTTGTAAGCCCAATTGTTTAAGTTAGCTTGTAATGAGTAGTTGTTAAAAAGCCCATTAGATTAGTGCGCTATTTTTCTTATAAATAGCATGCTAGTGTCTCATCTTGCATAAGAAAAAATAGGAAGATAAAATCATAATTCAAGAGAGAGAGGTTATTTTTGTTATTCTTGTATACTTGTAATCTTGTTTGAAAGAGAAAGGAAATACTATCAGTTTATAACCAATCCTTGTTATTTTCTTTTGTTTTCTTTGTTAAGCCTAACCCTTGTGTTTTTGTTGTTTATAAAGAAATCGTTTATATTGTGTTTCAAGGCATCATATTCACAACAATATATATATATATATATATATATATATATATATATATATATATATATATATATATATATATATATATATATATATATATATATATATATATATATATATATATATATATATATATATATATATATATATATATATATATATAACAATTAAGACACATAAGAACTTGAACACAATTATGAACAAGAATAAGAACAATTTTTAATAACAAGTATGCTTAATACAAAATGTTTAACAACTACAAGGTATATATTTGCAGAAATCAAACATCATAAACTATCATAGATAGCTTCAAGCTTTTCTCTCCAGATTTTAGAAGAGTCATATGAACTTATGATAACTCCATATTGGATTAGCAGTTCTAAAAGCACTCGTCCATAAGGAATAAACAATGTATTTCCCTTGTGAAAATATGAAAGAGTCTCCTTCAGATAGTCAAATATAACTTGAGGAAGATCAATCTGCAAGTCTGAATTAAGAAGAAGTAGAAAATCTTTTTTAATAGGGTCCATAAGGTCCAGATCTTTGTCCTTAAGTAGTAAGTTTGAGTTCAGAATCTAATTCTAAATAATTGCATCAGGACGCAGATTTGAGACCTGAGAGATGTTTGATGGATCCACAAAATTACACCAAACAGGAAGATAATATTCCTAAACAAGAGTGCCTAGAATTTATCCAATCTCCTCATAGTTGATTACATTAGAAATCATCTTAGAGGTTACTGTTGTAGAAACACCAGAAACCTTGGAAAGAATAGCACACTCAGAACTTAACTCAACAATGGGAACATTAATCCAAAACTCTTTGACAAGACTTGGATAAGTGAAACCAGAGAGCACATCAAAGTATCCATTCCAACCATGTTTAGACACAATCTTTTGAAAGTTAAAACCAAGCTTAAGCAGCTCATCAAAATCCACAAACTTTTCATTGATGACAACTAGTTTATTCAAAGGAGAATTGACTAGAGAGTTCATTTCAAGTTTGGTTTGAACAACACAAATAATAAAAAGAAAAGAACTGAATAAGACTCTAAAGGAATAAGAATCTTGTCAGAAAAATAGAAAGAAGACACAAAATGATGTTTCACAAAGACAGGGGATATAGACAATATAAATATATAAAAGAAAACATCATTACCCTAAGGTTCTTACCTAGCAGATTTCTCGAGTCCACCAAATGATAATCAACTTTATGGAGTTTTAAGTAAACAGAGTTATTTTAAAAAGATTTTAACTTAAACTGCTCTATCAGAATTAAATATTCCTTTTCTGATTTGATTTAGTTTAATTCTATCAAAGCAACATTGGATCACACATTCAAAATCAAAGACCTTGAAAATTTAAAGTGTTTTCTAGGTATTGAAGTGACACACTCAAAGGCAGGTATCCTCCTTTATCAAAGAAAATGTTATATTGACTTGATAGAGGATTCATGCTTTCTTGAGTCAAGACCAGTCTCCACACCATCTGATCCTGCCGTCAAACTTCATTGGGATTCTAACACTCCTTACCATGACATTCCTTCATACAGAAGACTCATAAGCAGGTTAATATATTTGAATGGAATAAGGCCTAACATAAACTTATGCACACAATAATTAAGTGAGTTTTCGTCAGCTCCTATAGTCACTCACTTCAATGCTGCTTACAGAGTTCTAAGACATCTCAAAACTTGTCCAGCTCGAGGCATATTCTTCCCATGAGATTCAGCTTTGCAACTGAATAACTACTCAAATGTTGATTGGGCATGTTACATTGACACACATATATCCATTTTAGGACAATGCTTCTTCCTTGGTCGATCTCTCATTTCATGAAGGACAAAGAAACAATTAACAATCTCGAGATCTTCATCAGAAGCCGAGTACAGAGCCCTTGCAGCAGCCACTTATGAACTTCAACGACTCTTATATCTCATGAAGGATTTGCATATCACGTGTACTAAAACACCTTTGATCTTTTACGACAACCAAAGTGTGATTCATATTGATTCCAATCTCGTTTTTCACGAAAGAACAAAACATTTAAAAATTGATTGTCACATTGTAAGAGAAAAACAAAGCAAAGGTATTTCAAAGTTCCTTCTAGTCAAATCCAAAAATCAACTTGTTGATTTGTTCACCAAAGTTCTCCATCCTTAACCTTTTAATGCTTTGCTAGCCAAGTTGAAAATGATAAACATTTACCAACTTTAAACTTGTGAAAGGATATTAAAATATGTTGATAATGAGTATGTGAAGTATATACCATCATACATCACTAACTATCTTGCATTGCAGTTAGAAAAATGATTAGTAAATAGTAAGGATTAGTTATTTCCTCTCAAAGGCACACTATATTGTGGTAGAGTCTAGTAACTTATAATACAAGTCACCTTGATGTATATAAGAAACTTAACTTATACCATCAATTCTAATGAAAATTATTTCTTTACCATGTTCATCTTATTATTTTAATAAAGAAAAAGCAACTTTTTAGTGGGTCCCCCGCATGATTTCTTTCCTCCCAAAAGTAAGAAAATCATAAACTACCATAAAAAAAATCTATATAGATATGAATTACATATATTTACTATTATTTTATATAATTTTTTTTCTTATTAGTTTTACCTTCTAATATTTTTATTTTATTTAATACTTAGGCATATTTATAGAAATGAACCAGTACATTTACAACAATATTTCTTTAATAAATTTATTAATAATTTATAATTAAACATTGATTGATCAACTTTACATTTTAATTATTAATTATATACTTTTTTTATAGGGGTATTAATGTTATCTAGTAGTTAACACTTTTTTCTTTCACATTCACTTCCACCAAACAAATTTAAAATCATCTTATTTTCTACTCATGTTCTACTCACATTCATCTTATTTTCTTTCCTTTAACAATCTCTTCATTCACATTCTTTCTTTTTAATCCAAACAAAGCATTAGTCACGAATACCCCATCCAACTCTAAATCTCTTTGACACTACTAATTTTTACATCATTTTCTTTTCTCATCTATAAGCTTACCTTGAATCATGTAATTACCACAGCCTACTTTGTTTCAATACCATGTGCTTATCCCATAGCTTAATTCAATACCTCTCAAATCTTATTGGGATCAATGACTACGAGACTCTTCAAAACATTAATTCAATTTGATAGTATCACTTTGATTTTTCATAATAGTAATATACATTTTTAAAAAAAGGTCAACATATTACCTTATTTTCTTATAAAAGTAATAGTATAACCTCTTTTTTAAACAATAGTATAACCTCTTTTTAAACAATAAAGACTAACAACCTAATTTGTACTACTACCTCTGTTCTTTTAGACAATTTTTTTTAAAAATTAATTAAATAATTAATATATCTAATTTATAAATTAATTATATAATATATTTAAAAATTAAATTGTCTCTTATATATATAAGAATAATATAGATAATAATTGATTAATACTATTAAAACTTTCTCATTTAAAAAGACTAAGAGAGTAATTAATTTTCAACTTATCAAAATTTTACCAACAATAAACATAAATCTTTTAAATAGTACTTATCAAAATTTTACCCCCACTAAACATAAAGTAGTTTTATAAAATTTAACAATATTGAATATTTCTACAAAAATCTACAATATAAAGAAAAATTCACAATTTACCAAACTTTTATTTTTGTTGTGAAAACATAACTTAAATAGGAGTTTAAAAAAGTGGGAAGAGAAAGTGGTTAAATCAGTGAGCGGTATAAAGAGCGGAAGCATATTCTTCAAGAAACCTTCTTAAGTATTTAAAAACAGCGTTCATTCCATCGGTCTCTTCACGCAGCCCACACTCTCTGATATAACGTTCTTCTTATTCCTCTTCTTCCTCTCGTTACGTTTTCGTGAACTAGGGTTTTGATTCGAAACCACATCATCATCACCATCATCAACAAGAAGCAAAAATGCATTCCAGTCACTTGCTTATCGAAGAACCGATTCGGATGATCTCAATACTCGAGCCATCCAAATACGTAACTCTCTTAATCTTCTTTATCTTTTTTTTTTTTCTGTTTTATTTGTTTATTTATCATTATTGAATTGTATTTTGCATTTTTAGAGCTTTTTTCCTGCAATGACGAAGATTGTTGGTACCCTGGGACCTAAATCTCGTTCCGTAGATGTTATTTCTTCTTGCCTCAAAGCTGGAATGTCTGGTATTTGTTATTTCCATTTGCGTAGTTTTCAAAGTAGTTATGATTAATGTCAAATATTTGTTACAATGATTTTGAATGATCAATAGTTTAAATTTTAAGCTAGTACTGTATACAATGAAGTTCGAACACCAGGAACACAAAGACACCGGTAATAATTTGAAAAAATAATCAATTAAAGCTAATCACAAGTGTCGGTTAGTGTTTGTTTCTGATACTTACACTAACACACTTTTTTTGAGGTGTTGCTGCTACAGAGACGGTATGAATTCAATCTAACATTTAATAGGCTGCTATATGATGAGGTTTTGTAATGTTTGTTGTAGTGGCTCGTTTTGATTTCTCTTGGGGTGGTGCTGAGTATCACCAGGAGACTTTGGAAAATTTGAAGACTGCTATCAAAACTACTAAGAAGCTCTGTGCTGTGAGTGGTTAATGAAAGTTTTAAACTAAACTCGTTGTTATTTTGCATGTTTTTTGTTTGATTAGTGGATGTGTTTATTGTTGTTTTCGAGTTTGATGACTGTTTTGTTGCTCTCTGTTGCCTTTGCTAGGTTATGTTGGACACAGTGGGTGCCGAAATGCAGGTTGTTAACAAAAATGAGACAGCGATTTCACTTCAGGCTGATTGTCAGGTTGTTCTAACTCCTGACCAGGGACAAGAAGCTTCTTCAGATATACTGCCTATCAATTTTGATGGACTGGCCAAGGTTTGTTCAAGTTTTCAAACTTCTATGAATTTACCTGAAACTTCTTATTCATACCAACTACCACCAATGCTTATAGCTTAGCGCAAAATAGATTCATTGTTTTGTTGCATTCATTGTTATTTTTAACCTTAATCTTGTTCATTGTTTACAGTCAGTGAAGACAGGAGACACCATTTTCGTTGGTCAATACTTGTTCACGGGAAGTGAAACTACTTCTGTTTGGCTAGAGGTAAGATAAATGGAGCTGAAAGATAACTTTTTTGCCAATAGTTCCCTTTCTATTATGTTATGTGTTCTTAAGTATTTTTTAATCTGCATCAGCCATTTGTTGATTACTTTATATTGTGATTTGGTGTAATTGATGTTAAATTTTTCTAAATTGATCCTTGCGAATTTATATTAGACGCCTAGTCACCTAGACTGGCATTAATATAAATAGTTGAAACTTGAAATGAAGTCCTACATGCATTACGAGTTCTACTTGAAACTATGCAGGTAGTGGAAGTTACAGGGCAGGATGTTGTTTGTACTATAAAAAATTCAGCAACATTAGCTGGGGCATTGTTTACCTTGCATGCATCTCAAATTCATATTGATTTGCCTACAATCACTGAGAAAGACAAGGAGGTAATTTCTACTTTTCACTTTCATCTTTTAGTGAGTTACCTACTGTCAAACATGCAGAGCTTGCCTGTGCCTGGATTATAGGGTTCTTTAAAGTTCTGAGGTATCATTTTTTTTTCCGTTGCAGGTTATAAGCACTTGGGGTGTAAAAAACAAAATTGATTTTCTATCATTGTCATATACTAGGCATGCTGAAGATGTTCGCCAGGTTAATTGTGTTCCACATCCTTTTTGTTGTATCATCTGAAGTTTACAACCGGTCATTTAATTTTTATTCTATTTCTGTTTCAGGCTTTCTACTAACAGACCTTATGTGTTTAAAATGCAGGCACGTGAATTCCTTTCTACATTAGGTGATCTCAGCCAAACTCAAATTTTTGCAAAGATTGAAAATGTTGAGGTGACCAGCATTTCATAGTTTACTGGACAATCATAAATTTTCTATAGATTAGATCCTTGCCAGCTATGCTGATTCAAGTGCATTTACATATCTGATTTATTTTAGGGATTGACCCATTTTGATGAGATTCTACAAGAAGCAGATGGTATTATCCTTTCCCGTGGGAATTTGGGCATTGATCTTCCACCAGAGAAGGTTAGATTATTTGTTTGTAACCAGTTTCTAGTTCTTTTACTTATCCTGCGTTGATGTGTGGTTTTAGGCATGTTGACAATGTACTCAATACATCATATATTTTTATAATTTGTTCATTAAATAAATTGAAGTACATGCTTCAACCTAAATTTTTCTTGCCTAGATCATCTGCCACATCTTTTTAAGGTTGGGGTTCTAGGACAGACAAAGTTTCATCAAATAGATGGATGATATATACTTAGTACTTGAGGAGTTGAGGATCTTTTATATGATATTTAGGTATCCGATGTCTAATTTCCTTATCACCCAGTTTCTTATAACTTGAATATGGTTATTTTGGAAATGACTGAATTTTTTCAAGATCGTTTCAAATATCTGTTTGAACTGTATAATTTATGTATGATATTTGGGTATCCGATGTAATTTCCTTAGCAAGCGCCCTGTTTCTAATAACTCGAATAAGGTTCTTTTGGAAACAACTGAATTTACTAAATTTTCAAGATCGTTTCAAATGCTTGTTTGAACTGTATAATTTTATATACGATATATATACAGTGGTACTTGTGAAAATCATTAGTCTTCACTTTTTTATACCATTAATTAACCTTTTTATATAATTAATTAATGCATCAATAGTCATCTATCAAGTGGGGGTCTGATGTTAAACCCAAAATCTAGAACATTGAAAGATAATAAGCCTTTATGGAGGGGTGTTGCATGCTTTTTGGAATGGAACATGATGTTTATGCGTTTGATATGAATTTGCTTACTATATTATTACCTAATTTAATATCTCAAACAACCATATCATTATAAATTAATAATTGTCTTTATTTGGAAAGTACCTAATAGCTCTAAGACTGGCTGTTGCAGAGATGTTAATCAACTTCCATTTGCTTTTGTAGGTATTTTACTTCCAAAAGTCCGCCCTTTACAAGTGTAATATGGCTGGGAAGCCTGCTGTGCTCACACGTGTTGTGGATAGCATGACTGACAACTTGAGACCAACTCGTGCGGAAGCCACAGATGTTGCCAACGCTGTTTTAGATGGTGAGTCACTAGTCATATGGTACCACTAGTTAGGTTGGCAACTATATCAGTATCCCGTGCCTGTACCCATATCCGGTACCGGTACCGGTACCGGCACCATACCCATATACACTATACATTACATGATTATCAAAGACATGATATATTGCTGTGCTTTTGATATTTTTTTCATGTTAAATTTCATTTCCTGGTTACCTTTGGGTATTAAAGACTAATAACAAATATTTATTCTTTTCTTCCCTTGGTTTTGGTCCTTCTCAATGATGTTTTCTTCTAATATTGCTTGTTATATGTGGTTTTAAGAAATGGTTAATTGATATTTAATTTATTGAACTGTTATTAATATACAGGTAGTGATGCAATTCTTTTGGGTGCTGAGACTTTACGCGGGTTATACCCTGTCGAGACTATTTCTACAGTTGGCAAGATTTGTGCAGAAGTAAGTGCAGTTCAAAGCTCCTTTAATTTTGTTTGGTACTTAGATTTTTTCTGTTATTTAGATTTTAGGGAATACTGCTGATAAATCTCTGTGAATTTTGAGCTTTTGGCCTTAGTAATTTAAGTTGGCATAATATTCTTTTCTGGTTCATAACTTCAGTCTTGTAGACATTTCTAACTTCGCAATTGTTTGACTGGAGAAATTCCCGTGTTAATGTACTCCATGACTCAGCCTATTTTTTTTGTCAAGACAGATGTACTCAATTCTGTAGTTTCATATATCATTGGTATTCCTGTGTATTTTTGTTTTACAAATAATACTGTATTACCACTATTCATCCCTTTTACAATATAAGTATACAGTGGAGGTTGCTTAATGAGCATATTGGTTGCTTATTGTATTAGAATCTATTTATTTCTGGTTTCACTTTGAATTATATGTTGCGTCTACATATATGGGTAAAATCTTCTAAAAATGCAGGAAGCTGAATTGTCCTCAATTCTTTTCTTTATTTGAATATTAATTTATTCATATCATTTATGCTTATTTCTATGTTATGGTGGTTTGAAGGATACTTTTGCATAATAACATGGCATTAGTGATATGGGTCCTTTGATTCATATGAGTGACCATGTTTGAAATTTCACCAATAATGCGGCTGATATCTCTGCCTTTTGTTTCAGGCTGAGAAAGTTTTCAATCAAGACCTTTATTTTAAGAGGACAGTGAAACATGTTGGAGAACCCATGACCCATTTGGAATCCATAGCATCCTCAGCGGTATTTACATTTTAACCTTGTCATTATTTTTTTAATGGTGATTCCTAGTGCATGAGGTGGTGAGGCAAAAGTGGCAAGGTTGTGGTCTAGTGATGTGGTGGTCACATGTTATAGGTTCAATATCAGCATCTAAGCCTTTGATGACCCCTCATACTGCGGAGAAACTTTTTACTTTGTCATGCAGGCCTGTCTATTTAAAAAAAAAAAGTGATTTTTGGCTATTCTTTTTTTGAAAACTTGGTATCTCTGGCCTTTAGACCGACTAGTAATTTTTGTCGGTCTAAAGTAATTTTTTTCTATTGTTTTTTGCTTTAGTCTTGGTGGTTGCTTTAAGTTCATCTATAAAGGAATCTTCTAAAATGCAAATCCTATTTATTTAGGTACGTGCAGCTATTAAGGTGAAGGCTTCTGTTATCATTTGCTTTACTTCATCTGGAAGGGCTGCAAGGTAAATTCATTGAATAATTGGATATGAATTATTAAAATCAAGGAGAACTGAACTAGATATTTTCTTTCGAATTGGATCAAGTAATGGAAAATGAGTGCTATGGATAAATTAATATTCATATTAATTTGTATTCATTGTATTTTCACTAATCTCTGGAAGACTTTTCTAAACTTGCCATGTGCACTTTTCAGATTGATAGCAAAGTACAGGCCAACGATGCCGGTTCTCTCCGTTGTGATACCCAGACTTAAGACAAATCAGCTAAAATGGAGCTTTAGTGGAGCTTTTGAGGTTAGATTTTAGCTTTTGTCTCCTTTACATCTTATATCCTGTTAGCTGTCTATGAATTGCTTATTTACTTGAGTATCCATGGATGTGACTGGTGCTTCTGTTATTTTTAACAGACCGGACTCTATTATTGTTATGACGTTGATATATAGCCATAATTAATACTACATTGCCTGATTTTAAAGATAAGGGAGATTAAATTCTCTCCACTTTAGCTGAGTAATTTAAACTTTTGAGGTATTTATGAATTATGAAAATTGAGTGAATAGTCATTGTTGTAAATGTAAAATAAGTTTTACCACAATGATTAACTAACGAAGTAACATTTCACAATCACACCAAATAATATTTTAGTTTTATACTCTGAAACCAAGTTGTACACTTCAAAGTAAAATCAGTTTTGTTTATTACATTGCTAAATAAAAACAATTTATTCAATTGTTTCTTGTTTCCAGGACCAACTACCAATACATTTGTGGGAAAGCTTATTTACTTCTAATGTACTACTATGCTACTCCCTCCACCCCTAACTATAAGACCCTTTAAAGAAATTTTCTTGTTTCTTTTAATAAGACTTTCTTTAAATTTTCAACTGCATTAATTATTTTTTACTAACTCCCATATTATTATCATATATCTAGGGTCTAAAGGAAATATCATCTATATATATATATATATACACACTCAGATACTTTAAAATCATGCTACAATCATGTTTTACTGTGAAATATCTACAGTAATTTTTCTATCAAGTTGATTATTTTTTCATGCATATATGATATATGTGTATAAATTATAATACAATATACTTAATACTACAAGTTTTCCCAACTGTTATTAACTGTATCCGGTATAAAGCAAATACAACCATAAATTCTAGTCAGCTTTGGAAAATGATGCTCTACTGGCCTGGAGACTGGCAAGCTTCAAAAACATAATTGAAATCCCAATTTCACTTGGCAAGCTCTACTTCCAATTCATTGGGAAATTGATGAAGGGGTTCCTAAAATATACCCAAGACAAATTCAATAGGGGTCATTTGAATATGGCTACGCAGTGTCTTCCCAACCAGGTAAGTGAGTGGGACAACACCGTTGAGTTTACAACAAATTTATGGTGTTAGTGAAGAATCACAAGAGTTACTAAATGCAAAATTTTCAGCATCTGTCCTGCAAGCCAGTAATGTCTTTGACAGTAGAATTCACAATCAAAGTTATTTACCTGTTTTTGGACTCCGTGATCATCATCTACTACTACTACTAATAAATGTTATATGATTAGTAGGAAAGATTGCTACCAATCTCAAGTATTACACAATGTGCAAAGAGGATAAACCACACGTTGGATGTCTTTTTGGAGATTGCATCCGGTTACATAATGGGAAGGTTGCTTCTTAAATGGGATGTTGTTAAACACGTAATTTCGAATCAGAATAGGAAACAAGCTTTATTTTTGGAAATTTGGGAAACATCTCTGAATTATGCTATTATCAAGTTGGTATTCATGGAAGATAGTCTGCTGATATTCGGGTCTTCAATAGAACCTTTCAGCAGGTTTTAGTTTAAAATTCAACACTCGATACAGGTTTCGAAGTCAATGGAGCGGTTGAAGAGAAGAGAAAATGGGTTGCAAGGAAAGCAAGGGCACAATGTTTTTTTTTTTTTTGGTTTTCACCACCAGAATCCGGCCCACTGGACTGACTATCTTGAAATGCATTTATCTATTAACACAACACCTTTGGTGCATTGTTTTCGGGAAAAGAACATGCAGAACATTTGATCCCGGAGGAAGTTCTCTAGTGACATGCAGATCTGGGTCATTATGTTTTATGCTATGGGACCTGGAAGGAATGTTTTTCCTGGTGGTTCAGGATCCCTGTCGAATCCGAAGAGTTTTATTTCTAATACAATTAACGGATTTACCAGTTGAGGAGGAAAATTGGAAGGAGAGATTATGTTCAGAGTCAGTTCCCTAACCTCAGACTTGAGAACAAGTCTGTTTTAAGGGGTGGTATTGATTGGATCCCCATTGCGTAATGTGGGCCCAAAGAGTGATATGGATAGGGTGAGGTTAGTAGGTTGTCTAGCTGACAGTTTGTTATGCCTCAAGTGGTTATACGTAGTGAGAAGGGATTGACAGGGGGATTCATGTGAGCATTCTGTTAGAATGGGTAAGGGTGGAGAAGTCTTTCTATGAGGAGTCATAGACTCTGAGCCAGTTCTGTAGAGAATCTCAATCAGGAATTTACTTCAAATCTACAATTTTCTTTTTCTGCTTTAGTTGTTCTCAGTTCCATCATTACATCTTTGTGATTACAAACTTGTATTTACCAGGATGAATGTTATGCTGTTTATATTTGATCATCTTTGTTAACCAACTTACAATTCATGACACAGGCAAGGCAGTCACTCATTGTAAGAGGTCTCTTTCCCATGCTTGCTGATCCTCGACATCCTGTAAGTTCTTGATCTTGCAAGTTGTTCTTTCTCAAGTTTATCTGTTTTGTAACTGAAGATTGTTCTTTTGGGGGAAGGATGAAGCATTGGATGCTGAATATATATTAAATTAATCTATGGAGAAATCAAACTATGGAATAACTTTTGTACAATTGTAATACTACGTCTATCCCTAATTATTAGCTTAATTATTAGCCAAGTTTCAAATTACTAGATTCATATTAATTTGTTCAGGAAATAAAAAATTAGAACTAGACACATCTTATACACAGGATAATTTAGTAATGTTTATATACAAAAAATGTGATTACTAAGTTTTCTTAATATATAGAAATAGGGAAAGTACAAAGGTAAACTATTTAACAATAAATCCTAGGAATATGCTGTTGAAATATTAAACTTCGTGCATGACATATATTCAATGATCGAGACTATTAGGTATTGATATCATACTTTATCTGCAGGCTGAATCAACAAGTGCCAGTAATGAGTCTATTCTGAAGGTAGCACTTGATCATGGAAAAACATCAGGAGTCATCAAGCCACATGATAGAGTTGTTATTTGCCAGAAAGTTGGTGATGCATCTGTTGTTAAGATTATCGAGCTTGAAGATTAAGAGATTCACACCGTTAACGTCTTTTTGTCTTTTTGGTTGGTCATCACCAAGTTTTGAGAGGAGCAGATTTGAAGTTATCTCCACTGGGTTTTGGTGGCTAGTTATTATATACAGTTTTATATACTGAGAATGAATGTTGGGCTAATTTTACTGGTTAATCATGTCATAGTTAAAATCAAAGGGAGTATGTCCTTGATGTCATACTTAAAATTAAAGGGAGTATTCTCTTGATGTCATTTTTTTTGGAACTGGATTGGGTTGCAATCCAAATAGAAACCCAATGGATTGGGTACTCGAATTGTTAGCCTGAATTAAATATAGTATTCAAAATAATCTTTAAAATCTGTGCAAGAACTCAATCCTTTTTTTCCAGTCTAATTTATTTATTTTGTATTTATGAGGTCAATTTGGAAGAAAGTTTATTCAACATGTTATGTCAAATTACTGGTGCATATTCCTTTTTCTTTTTTCTTTTTTCTTCTTTTGACCGGATATTGCTTGTTTTCTTGAAAACCACTCTATCAGCATTATTAAATAAGTATAATTTTAAACAATTCTATGGGATGCTTGCAATCAGAAACATACAATACAAGCCATATTATTCATGAATCGTTGTAATTTTGATGTTGTACTGCCTATTATTTACTTTGACTTGTTAAGATCAAACAAATTTTTAGACTCGAATACCACGCCTTTTGTTACCTAACTTGTTAGCTTCAAATAGTGATGGCCTCTAACTATGGGTCATGATTCAGTTTATTTATTCACAATTGAGTTGAATGATTAATATTCTATCAGATCTTAATTATAAAATATTCTACTTTTTTTTTTCTATTTTAAATATAAGACATTACAAAAAATGTAACATTTAATAATTTTTTATGATATCAATTATGTAAAAGAAATGATTATTGATAATTTTACTATAAAACTACATTTTTTACTTGCCAGACTTAAATAAATAAGTATTTATTAAGGAACATTTTTAGGTACCATGATAACTAGTTGAGTATTGGTACTTTTAGTTTGAATTTGTTTAAAACTTTAATTGATTTAAAAATATAAAAAAACATGTCATTGAATTATTATATTATTATATTTGATTGGTTGAGAGTACCGATACCCAATTGATATCGGATGTTCACTATTTAATAAATGTGATTCAAGTTCGGTTCAATTCTATTTAATATGGTTCAACATGATTTGATCTCATTCTATAGAACCATGAATCAAGTATTTGAATTGAACTGATTGGCAAACTCACAAGATTTTAGTTCAACTTAAATTGATTATCGTGACATTAACATCATTGCTAGTAACCAATATTATTATCGGCCAATGCCCAATCTACTTTAATTTTGTTCTTTTAAATCCTTTTGTACTAGGAGCTGTAGAAAAAGGCACAAGGAGTTTTGGAATAAGAGTATTTTCCACGAAAGATTTTAACAAGGTTGAGTTGATGCTTCCTGTCAACGAACCTTTTAATTAAAAAATCTTAAATTGTGTAAATTGGTTTTCAGCACTGAATTGTTCTTTACAGAAAATCTTATTATATAAATCATTTAAGATAAATAAAAAACATCAAGCACCCGTGGCCTAATGGATAAGGCGTTTGACTTCTAATCAAGCGATTGTGGGTTCGAGTCCCACCGGGTGTGTATATTTTTTGAATTAAAATTAAAGAACTTTTGATTGATTTATTTACAAAGCATCAAGCTAAAAAAGCAATTGTTGGTTTGAGTCCCACCGGTTATTTTCAAAGCATCAAACTAAGCAAATGTGGGTTCGAGAGTCCCACCGGTGGTGTGTACTTTTTTTGAATCAAAAATTGAAATAAAAGAACTTTTGATTGATTTATTTTCAAAGCATCAAGCTAAAAAAGTTATTGCAGATTCATACACATACATCAAATATCCATGCAATTTTTATCATACTGCATTTAATGGATAAAAAAAACTCTAATTTATTACAACAAAACCCACACACAAGTTTCTTCTACTCTAAGTAGAAGAATGCTGTTGCTGCTGCATCTGCTGAGTATTCTGTAATTCAACCTCCTTCTGCCGAAGCAACAAAACCATCCTATCAATCTCCAAACACTTCCTTTCATTTTCAAGCTTCTGTCTCTCCATTTCCCTCTCTTTATTACTACTAAACCTCTCCCATTTCAGCCTTTGTTTCTCAATCTCAAACGCTTCAACATGATAGTTTATTTGTTCTTCTCCCAACTGCACAACCCTCTTCTTCATCCATTGTTTCTTCTCCCAACAACTCTTCACTCCATCTTGCAACACGTTCATCACTTCACTACTCAGCTGTTGCATCATTGCCGTCGGTGAAACCGAAACCGAAACCTTCCTCGACTTCTTCCTCGAATGCTCGTTATTCTCATCTTCACCTGATTCTTCATCCTCCTCTTCAGAATCTTCCTCCCATTCATCCTCTTCGTCTTCGTCCTCTTCCTCTTCTCCTCCTCCGCTTTTTCCTTTCAGTTTCAACATTCCTACTCCGTTCGACGAATGCAAACATTGTTGCTGCTCCTGCTGAGGTTGTTGCTGTTGCTGCTGTTGCGGTTGATGCTGCTGCTGTGGTTGAGTCTCGTTCGATGACTGTTGCTGCAAAGTATTGTTCCCATGGCCACAACTATTATGATAAGCACACATTTCTCTAAAGAAAAGATGCTTAGAATTCAAAAGCTTTCTCGCTTCATCTTTAAGTTTCGGAGACAAATCCATACTATCCAACAAGCTTTGATTCTCAACAACTCTACAAGCTGTTCCTTTTCCGACAATATCGTTAACCCTTTTGTACCTTTTGTTCAAATCATTGAACTTATCTTCACATTGTTGAGGCGAAACATAGTATCCTTTCTCCATCATCCCCTTAGAAACCGATTTCCATTTACCTTTCTTCTGTAACAAGCCACTCACTTTCTTTTTATTATCAACACCTATCTCCGAAGTACCGGCTTCGTCACCGATGTAATAAACAGCCATTATTAAGAGCCTTACCATTGTGTCTGTCCATTTCATTCTATGCCATGGTGACCCTTTTCTCTTTGGATCACCACCACCAGAGGCTTCATCTGCTCCGAAACATGGCTCATCTTCATCACTGAGGTTGATTTGTTGCTGTGCCTTGTTGTTCATGATGGTTTTTGATGAGTAAGAAGGATAGCTTTGTTTTATTGATTGATGGGGTTGATCATAGGAAACCATTTGGTGATGATGATGATGATGATGCAAAGTGTGAGAATTTTGTTGTTGTTTTGAAGGGTTTTCTACACCTATATATCCATTGTTTATGGTTGAACTAGGAAATATTCCACCACCTAGTCCATTGGATTCCATAAAGACTATAATTATAGTTCGACTAATATTGGTCTATGTGTAATTAATGTACTAACATTATCACATATTCACATTGCTTAGTTATGTGGTTAAACTTTTTGCTAAGTTTTTTTTTGAAAGAGTTGAAGAGGTGGAAGTGGAAGTAAAGTCAATGAAAGAGAAGAAAAAGAAAAGTGGAAAGAAGGGTTTAAAGAGAATATTAAGATGTGTAGTGTGTATTAAAGTATGTATATAAAGGGTTATGAAGCAAGTTGTTTTGGTTTTGTTGGTGGAGAAACAGGAAACAGCACATAGTTTTGGTTTGTGTGAGTAATTTGGATTTATAATGAGCCACAAGTTTTGTGTAAAACTGGCTGAGATTACTACTAATACTGCCACCACGTTCACTCAAGCGCCGTTTCAAAGGGATGGATTTGTATAAGTGTTTATTTCAAAAGTCAAAGACAAAAATAACTCATGCATTAAGAAATCAATGTTGTTTAAATTTTTAAGGCTTCATTACAATTTTGGTCTCTTTATTTTTAAATTTTTTGATTTTTAGTTATCTTATTTTAAAATTTAAAATTTTTGTCAACTTATTTTTAATTTTTTTAATTTTTAATTCTCTATTTTAAAATTTAAAATTTTAATTTTTTTATATTTTAAAACAAGCTTAGAATAGAAAGATCAAAAAAAAGAAAAAAAAGACTAAAATTTTGAATTTTAAAATAAAAAGACCAAAAATAAAATAATTGAAAACAAGAGGTCTTGTTTGAATGAATTTTTGTTTTTAGTTTTTAAATACTATTTTATATTTAAAATAAATAATTTTGACTATATATATATATATATATATATATATATATATATATATATATATATATATATATATATATATATATATATATATATATATATATTTGAAAGAAATATGTAAAAGAATTTTATGCACATTTTTATTAAAATAACATTTAAAAGCAACTTGATAACTTATATTAGTCATTCTTTTAAAAAAAATCACGTTCAACTCTAAATAGATTGTCATTAAAACTTGATCAAGCAATTTAATTTTCTTTCACAAACAATTTTATAATTTGAAAAATGAGTAATTGATATGAGCTGTTATTAATTAAATAACAAGTTAAGCGTGAGTACCATCTAAATCAATTTCAACTTTCATATATTTACTATAATGCCATTAATGAAAATTACCTGTTTTCCGTGTTTTTTCAGTTTTGTAAAATACTAAAAATGAAAACCAAACATATTTTTAGCTGTTTCTTGTTTTCAGTTTTTTAAAAATAAGAAATTAAAATCAGTTTTGAAAAACAAATTTTAAAAATAAGTACAACAAACAAGTTTTATAGTTTTCAATTTTTAAATACAGAAAAACAGTTTTTGAAAAGCCATTCAAACGAGCTTTAAAATTCCAAATTTTAAAACGGAAGATTAAAATTTAAAAAAATATAAAAATGGAAAGATCAAAATTACAATTAAATCAATTTTTAAAATGGTGATAATAATTTTTTATTACAAATTATTAAAAATTAATAATTTTGAGTGTCCTTAAAATGACAAAAAGTAAGAAAGTGAAAGTTGATTTTTTAATTTAGAAATAAATAACAATTGTTGCAGCAGGAAGTTTTAATTTGAATATAAAAATAAAAAATATTTGATGAATTGTTGCAGAATCTGAAACACTACGGTCTTTGGAAATAGTTGTTGTAGGCGAAATAGTGCAACAATTTACCAAAAGTGTTGTTGAAAGTGTGTTTCAACAAAGATCACAATCTTATCGAACAACGCCACTTTGACCTATAAGTTGAACATTCTAAATTTAGAAAAATACATTAAAAAAGTCTACCCTCTTTATGAAAAATTTTATATTTCATCTTTCATATATTCGAGTTTTCATCGATCTTATTCAAACTTAAATATAAATTGAATTATCCTGGGTATACCTACGTTTCAACTCTAAAACATTTAAGAATACTTAAAATATTTATAAGAAAGATGATTTTGTCCACAATTCTAGCCTTAGTTCATTTATCTTTCAATTAATTTTTCTAACATTTTGTTTAATTCTGACATTAATTTAATGCTTTAAATAAGAGACGCTTTTTAGGACTACACACACTTTAAATTTATCAAGTTTAAATTATGTGTGTGTGTGTTTCGGATTGGGCTAGAGGTTGTCCCACTGACGGGAATGGTTCAATCCATTTTTTCGTCGGGGAGGACCCAATTAGGGCCCAGCTTATCACGTCACACGGGAACACTGACGCGTATCCTCCACGTGCCCCACGCAGGGACACGTCATCAAGTAATTACCCACCTTCCGAAGATCACAGGGCAGTTGACCCAGGGCGAAGACCACATGCTGGTCTTCCCTATGCCACGTAAGCCCTAACAGTTATTCGTATTGGGCCTAACGATCCAACCCAATGCAAAATAACCGTTGGCCCCGCGCTTGGGGCACATTATAAATACCCTCTTTCACTAGAGGATTAGAGATTCTATTCACAATCTACCTTTCTGTACTTGCCTTTTTCTTACTCTGTTTCTTACTTTGGCATCAGAGTACCTTGCAGGTACACCCCATTCCTCTTCTCCACCACCGATGCATTAAGTAGCTCACGACGTGTTGCTGACCGTTGATCCCTTTTTGATCCGGTAATATATATATATATATATATATATATATATATATATATATATATATATATATATATATATATATATATATATATATATATATATATATATATATATATATATATATATATATATATATATATATATCTTGCTTTAAGAGTAAATTTTTTTTTAACTTACTCTAAATCATAATTTTTAAATTGAATTTAATATAAGAATTAAATTATCGATGTCGATTGCGCAGCAAAATCACTTTTCTTCCCTTTCTTCCCTAATTCACTTTTCTTTCTTCTCTCAATGTCGATTGCGCAGCAAAATCATCTTGCAATCAAGGTTGATTGAATCACTCGAGTGAAAAGTGAAGACCAAAAGGAGTAATCAATCAAACAAATTGATTCTTGTTCAACGAGATTGATTCGAAATTCTCCATAGGTTTGGTGATATTCCAACATCTGGTATCTAGAGAACTAGCTGTGTGATTCTTGGAAGCATAGCATAATGAATAATCCAAATGGGCATTTTTCGGAGAGTCTCCCAATTTTGAAGAATTAGAATTACGATAATTCTTGCAAGCAGATAAAGATTGTTTTTTGCCATCAAGATCTTTGGGATCTTATGAAGGAGGGAGTGACATCGCTTACTGAAAACACGACATAAGAAGAAAAGGTTACGCAAAAATAATTGAAGAAGAAAGATTATAAAGATCTCTTTATGATTAATCAATGTGTTTATTCATATAATTTTAAAAAGGTTAGTGATGTAGAATCAGCAAAAGAAGCATGGGAAATTTTGGAGAAATCTTTTTGATTCAAGAAGTTCGCAGTTTTTTTTTCCATGTCTTGTTTTATTCTTATTTTCAAGCCGATTAACTCGATGTGGTTGTACGGCCATTGTATATGGATATTATTACGGTCATTTTTGACTTTTGGTTCCAAAAACTATTTTCAAAAATAAACTCTCATTTTTATCAAGCCATTTTCAACCTTGTAAGTCGATTGCCTTATGCGTCGCCATCGACCTTGTTCGCATCACTTCAAACATTTTTACAAGCAATAAAACCCTTGATCCAACATCAAGTGGTATTTTTCTCATAAAAAATCCAAAAAAAAACAATAAAGATACGATTAGGGTTATACGCCATGAGCTTTAAAGTGGTGGAGAAGGAATGAGAATGGAACCCCTCCTACACTCGTTCCGAATATTTTGAATACAAGACGCTTGACTTGGTTATTCGAAACATTCATCTCTATCCAAAGTCTTTAGTGTGATCCTAATCAAGAACAGTTTCTTCTCAAAAATCCTAAAAAAACATCAACTCATCAAACTTATCTTCGCCTTAGGGCATCAATCCGAAAACCCTTTTTCAAGGTATAAAATCAACCGACAAACAATCATTTCACAAGCCTCCGAACTATGGAGCTCTGATTCTTCACTTCTTTTAAGTGAGGATACGTAGGCACAAGGACCCCAATCCTTGGCGAGCACTCTAATAAAAAATCAACCCCCCTTTTCTTTTAAGCAAGCAAGCTTTTAGATTAAAAACACCCATTCAAGCTAAAAAACCTAGAAGGTTCCATCGAATACGATGAATGTGAGGGGTGCTAATACCTTCCCCTCACATAACCGACTCCCGAACCCTAAAACTTGGTTGCGATGACCATGCTCTTTTCCTAAAGGTTTTATCGTTATTTCCCTTTCCCTCCTTGGGATAAATAAAATTCGGTGGAGACTCTGTGTCATTTTTCGCGTAGCGACAGTAGGACGGTGGCCTTAAAGATTAGGATTTAAGGTGTTGAGGGTGTGTGAGCAAAAATGAATAAATAATAGTAATAGTAACAATTAAATAATATTTTTAATTATTATGGTTGTAGTGACATAATGAAATAAATATTTGGTTTAGAATTACTAAAATAATATTTAGTAGAAATAATATATTTTTTTAATTAGATGGAATAAGGTTAATTGAAAATAATAATATAATGAAATAAAGAGAGAGAAAAAGGCGTGGGAGAATTAAGAATAGAACCGTTAGAACATGAAAAAGGAAGAGAAAGAGAAGGGAGAGTTAGGGCATAAAAGAAGAAGAACCTCCATTAGAGAAGCTTGAGAAATCTTCATCTAGGGTAAGGGCGGGACTTCTTCTTGTATAAGGGATTGTATGATAACATGTGGGTGGGTGAATTAGTTTCTTTTTGGTCAAATTTTCTTTTCTATGCTATGAAACATGTAAATGTGTGATTATACTATTATGATGTGTGTTTGGATGCATTGTGAGATAAGTGAATGATTGTGTTGTTGTATGTTATTGTTGTAGTGAGTAACTTGAGTATATGGCTTTCCATGAAAAATTGGGAGTTTTTGGGATA